GGAAGAGAGGGGGGGGCCCGGGGTCAGGGGCAGCATGGCTGGCCCCAGGGAGGGAAGGGGGTGGGGGGCAGCGCAGCTGGCCCTGTCCCCCCCCAGAGCTGCTTCCCATCCCCTCTTCCTCCCGGCCCCACTCTTCCTCCCAGCCAGTCCCTGCCACCCAGCCAGCCCCTCTTCCTTCCTCTCCCCTCCTGCTCAAGATCAAGTGTGTCCAATTTTTTGGGGAAGGGTCTACCTGGCAATCCTATGAGTCAGACCCGGTGCAGGCACCAAGTGATGGGGACTGCTGGAACTTTGGGAACCAGAGACTGCAGGGTGAGGGTTTGTGGCCCAAAAGGAGGCTGAGAAACCTAAGAAAGACAGAGCAGGGGGAGCACCAGAAGGGTGACAGTCAGGGCGACCCTAGAACTCTGTTACAGACCAGTTGGCAGCTGCTGGAAGAGGAGGGAAAAATAGGGGGAAAGGGTCGGAGAGGAAGGGGCTTGTGCTCAGGAGAGGGGGGAGGTCAGGAGAAAAAAGGGGGAGGCACCAAGGGACAGGATGTAGGAGAGAGACAAATGCCAGGGGGCCAAATGGAGACAATGAGGAAAAGGGCAGGAGGAGAGGTGTCAGTGAGAGAGGGGGACAGGATGGTGCTAGGAGAGGAGAGGGGAAGGGCTTTGGGGGCTAGAGAGGAGAAGGGGAGGTGCTGGGAGAAGGCTTGAAAGAAGGGATGGGCATGAAGAAAGCGGGGATGGTGCAAGGCACGTGTGAGGGCATAGGGGCATGCGGGGACCGGGGGCAGAGGGTGGGCATCAGGGAAGAAGAAGGCAAAGAGGGCAGGGGCAGTGAGGGAAGGGGAAGGCACCAGGAGGGTGCAGGGCTAAGGGAAGGTGCAGATGCCAGGGGATTCTGGGGGTGAAGCAGAAGGGCAGACACCTGCAGGAGAGGGACCAGCACCAGAGGAGAGAGGCAGGGCAGGTGTGTAGAGGGAGGTGTTAGGAGAGGGGATGAGGAGGGGTAGCTCACATGATCAGAGTGGGGCTACTGGAGGAGTGGGCACGGGGGGGAGAGAGAGGCTGGTGGAGGGGG